CCTGCCTTAGGACTGTTTTAGGTCCTCTTGGCCCTTTGGGGCTTGCTTTGTATAGCCATGGTTTGAACCCTTAGGCTAGTTTCAAGCTTTAAGCTTTCTTGCATGCTTTGCTTGTGTACTTCGGTCGGTTTGGCACCTCTCCTAACATGATTTCAGAGCTTAACATGTTTGCTTAATATCCATGTTTGTCTCCCTTTAAGCGTTCTTAAAAGTTGCTCTACAATGCTTAAGGTAATGGACCATTAGCATGCATGTTTATATGTGTATTTCATGCCTTTGTTTCATCACTTTGGCCACTGATTTGGACCTATTCGAGAGCTATCCACTTTGGTTTAAGACCCTTATTGCATGTTGTTGCATGCTTGCCTTGCATGCTGTTGCATACTTAGCCTATTGCAAGTTGTTGCATGCTTAAGTTATATCTCATTTGGCATGCCTCTTTTGTTAAGTTGCTTTGCATGTTTGCATGTATTGTCCCTTGCATGTTGTTGCATGCTTGCCCCACGTGTTGTTACATGCTTGCCTATCCTTGAATGTTGCCACATGTCTTGCATGTTTGCATGCTTGTTTAGGTTGCATTGCATTTGGCATGCTTATTACCATTAACCTTGTATGGCATTGTCCTTGACATGCCTTGTGTTGCATTAGTTTTGCTTGCATGTTTGCATCCCCTGCCTTTTGATCAAGCATGATAGAGGTTGGGGTCCCTTATGTGTTTTTCTTGTGCATTTCATTCTATATTGAATTGCACATTCGGCTCATTTGGCCATCATGCATCGAAATGCGTGATTGGTGGTCCGAGGGTCGACGACTACACTCCTTTGAGTCTCAAACATGATAAGGAGGGTGGTCATGCAAACATTGCCTTGTAAATATCTTGACATGTTTTGTTTGTCTTCTGTTGCAGCAACACAACATTCTGCAGGAAGATATGGCTGGTTGGCCATCTTTAGTGCCGGTCGGCAAAACATTGTTGGCCGATAGCTTTACATTTGGTCGATGACCAATTTCCCATGGCCGATGGCCCTATCTCTTGGCCGATGGACTCTCAGAAAGTCCCCAAGCTGGTTCAGAAGTGTCACAGAAGTTGGCACAGTTTTCAAAGGTACAGAGCAGTGTAAACAGAGACAACATGTGACATGGCGATAGATTTCCGAGCGAAGCCATCCGAGCACACATGCATCCCTCTTCCTGAGGCTGTTTTTACTGCTTTCATAGCTTAATTGATTTGCTTAATTAGTTAAGTGTTGTGTAATTAATTCACTTGTTAGTTAGTTAATTATGTAATTTGTATTATTCTTTCGGTCCCTCCGTCGAGAGGGCGCAATTGTGTAAAAAGCGTGCGTGTGTGAGATACATGTCTTCCAACCTCCACTTCTTTTTCCCTTTTACTTAACTGCTTATGATGGTTAGTTCTAGGACACGTTTCAATTAGCATCCTTATGCTATGCATGTTTGCAACATTCATCTGTATTGCATGCACTGGGCTTGGTGCATCATACTAATTGCATTGTATTTCAATTCTAAGTTGAATACATGTATCGAATTGCCGTATCTCACATGCCATTTTAGACTAGCCGAGCCTATTCTAGTTGTATTTTGTATGTGATGCATTAGCCATCTTAACATGGACTTGGATCATACATTGATTACTAACATGTTCTTTGTTTTGGCTCAAAGTACACTGTGAGTGTTTATGCTTTAGCATCTCGCATGTATGTGAGTGTCAACTTGAAATCATGCTTGCCATGAGGCTAATTGCTTATGTGATATAACTGCCTGAATGCCTGTGGGTGAAGGTTAGATTGCTTGAATTGGGGCAATTCATTGAAATCCGCATTTTTAGCCTACTTGCGAGCAGCAAACTTCAAACCATTTCCAAACAAACATGAGATGTTTTGTTCCAACTTAGGCGATCTAGTTTATACTTGTATGCTGTGCGCATCACATAGTAAGCTAGCTAATAACCGAAATAAGAACACATGTGTTTTCAAAAACAAGATATCATGCTTAGTACAGGTCGATCTTCGGATCGGGCGAGCGGGGGTGCTCATAGATGACCTTCACCAATCGTACCCAAGTTCCCGAGCTGAGGTAACTTTGGTGATGACGGGCACGTGGCCTTAGGCAACGAGTTAGGATTTCCTAAATTCCCCCAAAACAAAATATTTAGGTGGCGACTCTGTATCTGGCAAAGCAGTCCATGTTTGGCACTTCTTTCTTAAAAATCAGTTTTCCAAAACGATTTGCCGGATTTGGACTCTTTGGTGATTTATCTGTCTCGCATTACACTTTGCGGGATTAGATTCAGAACCGTGACATTTGAGTTCGAACTGTAGAAGCATGAGGCCCTCGGGGCGCGTCTACAAAGGGAGACCCGTAACCTCGTGTAGTGGAACCTACACAAAAATTTGATAATGATCCGTTATTTCATTCTTTTCTTTTGTTTTTTATACTGAGGACCGGTCACTAAATAATAAAAGCCTATAGATGTACTTTCTTTTATCAGCGTAATAAATTTTATGTTTAATTATCTCTTACTTCCATTTTATCTCCGTCTGCACCATTTAACTTGTTACGTTTAGAATTATTTAGTAAGTTACAATTTCAGTCCTAAGCCTTGGGGTTGGGTCGTGACAGCTGCGTCGGCAGCGGTGGTGTTGCTGTTTGAGCCACTCACCTTGGTGGTAGACAAACAGTTACCCATCTTCTAGTTTTTGTTAAATATGAAAAATTCACAACTATGGAGAGATCAAACCCACCCAATAATCAAATAGATAACACTAATCGTATATACAGAGAGATATGTCTCTGTGTGTGTGTGTATATATATATATATATTGAGAGAGAGGAAGAGAGAGAGAGAGAGAGAGATGTAATGGGTGGTTAAGGAAGAAAGTTTAGAGCAGATGTGAGGAAGAAAAGAAGAAAGGGTTGGTCAAAAGAGACTACTATTAAAGAAGAAAAATATCACGATGAAGAAGATGAAGAGAGAGAAAGAGAGAGGAGAAAGAGACAGAGGAACCACAATTGGTGGTGTCGTTTGCAATCATGGAGTGGATATGCCTTGGGTGGGAGGGACTGTGTGGAGAAGATGGTGCCTTATAGTGGATGTGTGGATGTAATGCCACTGAGAGTGGTTGGGTAGCGGAATTTAAGAGAGAGAAAATTATGATAGTAAATGACATTCATAAAAAAATTGAAAAAAATATATATTTTAATTTTTTCATTAATTCTGTTACATTTCGTCACTTTTGCACAACAATTCAATTCTAGTACATTTATAAAAGGCAAGAATATAATGTGCAAACACACGAACCATGTGTGCAAAATGTAATTATCCTAATTTTAAAAGAACTATACACAAAATTGAAATTACCCCCATTGTTTCTGAGCTCGCCCTGTGAAATGCTTGGTGAAAACTTGAGAGGGTTTCTAAGGGTCGTGAAAGAAGTGTGTTTTAGGGCAAAAAGTTTCAACACTGTGAAGAAATCCTCTGCAGAATTGGTAATTCTCTCATCCTTTGGCTAAAAAATTTCATCAATGTCTAGTTTAATCTGCAAATCTTTACACCATTTAAGGTCTGCTACTGGAGCTTCTTCACCAACCCACCACCACAATCTCTATTTCCTTCAAAACCATCCCTTTTCATCATCATCACTCGAAACCACTCCAAATCAGCACTCATTCGTAGTGAATTACTTCATAAACTCGTGTAGGTTTCCTCTAGAAAATGCTATCTCAGCATCGAACTATGTCAAATTTGAAACTCCAAACAAACCTGATTCTGTCCTTGCATTTTTAGAGAACCACGGCTTCACCAAAACCCAGATCTCAAATCTCGTCAGGAAGTATCCTCCAGTAATCTTATGTGATCCGGAGAAAACCCTTTGCCCAAATTCTAGTTTTTCAAATCTAAAGGTATTTCGAGCACCGATGGAAAACAAAATCATCCCATCTTTCAATTTTTTTTAAAAAATTGATGGGTTCCCTAGTGGAAATTATTAGACGTTGTGCCAGGGTTCTCTTCTTTGATCTTCAAGTTTCTGTAGTACCCAATATTGAAATTCTGAGAGAAGCAAGTGTGCCAAATGCGAAGATTGTGTCCTTTTTTAAGTACGAACCTAGAAGACTCATGACTACTAGTGATAGATTTAGAAAGATTGTGAATAAGGTAAAGAAAATGGGTTTTAATCCTGTGAGCTTGAAATTTGTCATAGCATTTCAAGCGGTTAGCTCAATGAGTAAATCGACGTGGGAGAAGAAAGTTGAAGTTTATAAGAAGTGGGGTTGGTCTGAGGATGAGATTCTTGTGCTTTTTGAGAAGTATCCGTGGTGTATGATGGCATCTAAGCATAAGATCATGAGAGTGATGGAATTTTTTTATCAATAAAATGGGTTGGGATTCTTCATTTCTTGCAAGAAGTCCGATACTTATTGGTTTTAGGTTAGAAAAGAGGATTGTTCCAAGGTGTGCAGTGTATCAAGTTTTGTTGTCGAAAGGTTTGATTAAGAACAACAGTTTTAACTTGACAACTATGTTGAAGAAACCTGAAAAGTGGTTCCTAATGAAGGTTGTGAACTGTCATGAGGAAGAAGCTCCTGAGCTATTGAAATTGTAGAAGGACAAGTTGGCTCTTGCAAAGAAAATAGCATATAAGGATGTTTCTTTTGATACCAACTCAACAAACAATTGCCCTGTTGTTTTGCTTCTCGTGGTTTAATTCTGGTTGTTGATTTATCTCATTTTGTCATCTGTAAGTAAGTTTGAGTTCAATGTTTTCACTCTGACAAATGGGATTCGAAGGTTCACATTGCTGCATTGAATCTTTGTCATTCTGTAATGGCTGAGGCTTAAAGCCATGTACCTATATCTGAAGATTAGCCAACTCCTTAATGCTGCATTCATCGTTCGAGTAACCGTTGCACATTAACAATGTTGTTGTGTCCAGTAAATTGTTGATGTTATGCCTATGAGATGTTAACATGGTGTTGGTAAGATAAGCCATTGTCTAACTTTTTTGTAAGGCTAATTGTGCAAGCCTCATTTAAAGGTAAGTAATCTTTCAAAGTTTAAATGCCATGATTTCAAGTGGTAGCTGACAAAGATTATCACATTTTCTTCAAAGATGCATTTTTCATTTTCTTAAGTTCACTCTTCTATTGTAGGGTTCCCGAATTTTGTATACTATTTACTGCATACAATAAGTGTAGCGGCTAGACAGGAACTAATATTTAGCTTCAATTTGAAATAACAATGATAGTTAAAATGGTTCACAACATATGGAAGTGCAGAGAAGCCTCTGGAATTCCTTGAAGGCTTATGGATTAGATGAGTGATCGGTATTAGAAGCTTCTTGAATGTGTTTAATTAATTCATCCATAGCTAACACCAATAGATAAGGATGCAAAGTTGACCCTTGATGCAATATCCTGCAGTGATTGGAAATTAGCAACTAGCCCGGAGGTTCTGAATAAGCTGAAATTAGCAACTCCAATTATGCAAACCATTGAAACCTTTTCTCTACCCTGCATTTGGTTTGTGCAATTCTGTTAACCAGTGATGTTCATGGTCGTTCTGGTTGCTTAGTTTCCACATTTCTCATGTACATTAGAAGCATAACTGTGGTGTAAAGCTGTCATATAGGCACTAAAATGGGATGTTAAAACCGCTGTGGGCTTGTAATTTGAGGTTATCAGATCTAGGTTATTATTTGTATTCTATTGGAAGCTATTATTTGTTTTCTATTGGAATGGGCACGTGGCATGGCTGGTGTTGGACATTTTTACCTTGTGACATTACCTTAAGTTGTATAAATAAGCTCACATTCTGCTGTCTTTTTTATTGTCTATTTTTAGTTGGTTGAGATAGGGGA